CAGGAGGCCACGCCGTCGCAGCGCGGCGCGCGAGGAAGGCCGACGGAGCGCCCGCGCAAGGATCACCGCTTTTGCGCGCCGATGATGCAGCCGCCGCAACAGAGCCCATTCAACGGCGCCCATCCCCTACCCCCACGGTACCGAACCCATCCCCTACCCCCGCGGTACCCGAACCCATCCCCTACCCCCGCGGTACCCGAACCCACCCCCTACCCCCGCGGCACCCCGACCCATCCCCTACCCCCGCGGTACCCGAACCCATCCCCTACCCCCGCGGCACCCCGACCCATCCCCTACCCCCACGGCACCCGAACCCAGATGGTCGATCTCGCAGGCGCCGAGGCGTACCAAGTCGGGATCGCCACTCGCTGGCCGCTCGCGCCGCTCTGCCCGCGGCGGACGGAGTTCGCGCTCTTCTCGCGCACGACGCTGCCCCTAGAAGCGGACCGCGTATTCTCGTCTCCCCACCCGCGCTGTAGAGGGCACGGGCTCACATGTACTCCGCCGCCATCCGCTGCATGCACTCTCTCCGCCTCTCCTCGCGATATCTCCCCATATCTCCCCATATCTCCCCATATCTCTCCGCCTCTCCTCGCGCTCACGCGGTGCTCTGACTACGCCGCACCACCACACCGTCCCTTCCCGCCCGGCCCTCGGCGTGGTCGGCACTTTCTAGACACTTCCTAGACACTTCCTAGACACTTCCTAGACACTTTCTAGACACTTCCTAGACACTTCCTAGACACTTCCCTGACCTCGGCGTGTGCAGCACGCAGGCTGCCCAGATCTCCCCACATCTCCCCATATCTCCCCAGATCTCCCCATATCTCCCCATATCTCGCCATATCTCGCCATATCTCGCCATATCTCCCCACATCTCCCGCCCCGACCTCGGCGTGGTCAGCTCGCAGGAGGATGTCGCGCGGGCTGCTCATGGCCGTCACCAAGTGGGGCTCCGCACCCAACGCGCCGCACGTGCTGCTCGCGACGACGCACCTCGAGTCGTGGGTCGGCCCGGTGCGCAATCTCGAGGAATCTCGGGGAATCTCGCGGGATCTCGAGGAATCTCGGCGCACCTCGAGTCTTTGGTCGGCTAGGAGGCCAACGGCGAGGTGCTCGCCAACCGGAGGCGGCAGCTCGACGAGAGGACCCGAGAGGACCCGAGATGACCCGAGATGACCCGAGATGACCCGAGATGACCCAAGAGGAGCCGAGAGGGGCCGAGATGACCCGAGATGACTCGAGATGACCCGAGATGACCAGAGATGACCCAAGAGGAGCCGAGAGGGGCCGAGATGACCCGAGATGACCCGAGATGACCCGAGAGGACCCGAGATGACCCGAGATGACCCGAGATGACCCGAGATGCCCCGAGATGACCCGAGATGACCCGAGATGACCCAAGAGGAGCCGAGAGGGGCCGAGAGGGGCCGAGAGGAGCCGAGAGGAGCCGAGAGTCCTCGAGAATAGGTCTCAGCTCGCCGAGGCGGGGGAGATTGCACGAGATTGCGGGGAGATTGCACGAGAATAGGTCGCAGCTCGCCGAGGCGGGGGAGAAGGTGGCGAGGCGCGCTGCCGAGGCGCAGTGCTGCCTTGCGGTGTTGGCCGGCGACATGAACTGGAACGACGCGGACGGCGGGGACCCTCTCGAGGTGCTGCAATCTCCCCGCAATCTCGTGCAATCTCGTAATCTCGCCGTGTAGGCGGGGACCCGCTCGAGGTGCTGCAATCTCCCCGCAATCTCGTGCAATCTCGTAATCTCGCCGTGTAGGCGGGGACCCTCTCGAGGTGCTCCGTGCGACTGCGGGGGGCGGCGGCTGGAGGGATGCGTGGCAGGCGGTCGGCGGCTCGCTCCCTAGACACTCCCTAGGCACTTCCTAGACACCTCCTAGACACCTCCTAGACACCTCCTAGACACGTCCTAGACACCTCCTAGACACCTCCTAGACACGTCCTAGACACCTCCTAGACACGTCCTAGACACCTCCCAGACACTTCCTAGACACGTCCTAGACACCTCCTAGACACCTCCTAGACACTTCCTAGACACTTCCTAGACACTTCCTAGACACGTCCTAGACACGTCCTAGACACGTCCTAGACACCTCCTAGACACCTCCTAGACACTTCCTAGACACGTCCTAGACACCTCCTAGACACTTCCTAGACACCTCCTAGACACTTCCTAGACACTTCCTAGACACTTCCTAGACACGTCCTAGACACCTCCTAGACACGTCCTAGACACCTCCTAGACACCTCCTAGACACGTCCTAGACACGTCCTAGACACCTCCCAGACACTTCCTAGACACGTCCTAGACACCTCCTAGACACCTCCTAGACACTTCCTAGACACTTCCTAGACACTTCCTAGACACTTCCTAGACACCTCCTAGACACGTCCTAGACACGTCCTAGACACCTCCTAGACACCTCCTAGACACTTCCTAGACACGTCCTAGACACCTCCTAGACACTTCCTAGTCTCCTAGACACCTCCTAGACACCTCCTAGACACCTCCTAGACGCCTCTCTTTGCGTGGCAGGCGGTCGGCTCGCCACAGGAGAGCAGGGCGACGATGGGCTGGAACTTCCGGCTCGACCGCTGCTGCTACGCCGAGACACTTCCCAGACGCACTTCCGGGGGGTAGACTCTTCCGAGACACTTCCTGTAGGCTCGACCGCTGCTTCTACCTCTGCCCGCCGCCGAGGACCGGCAGCAGCGTGCCGCAGGTGCAGCCCACCGCTGTGTCGCTCGTCGGCAAGTCGCAGCCGCCGTCGCTGCACGGGCGCACGGTCGAGACGCGGGGCGGCAAGCGGCAGAAGCTGCTGCCGTCCGACCACCGCGGGCTGCTGGTCAGCTTTGCGCCACGCCGCGCGGGTGCGGGCTGGGCGGCCGAGCTGGACTGAGGCGCGGGAGTGGAGGCTGGAGGGGGGCGGAGGGGAGCGGGGGGGGGGGGGGGGGCTTCTTTTGGATGGGGTTGCACGGCCGTTTGCTTCTCCAGCACCGGGCAGGGGGAGACAGAGGTGCTGCAGAAGACGGGGCCCATACAGTGAGGCACCGTTAGCTTGTGGCGTCGCGGGGGCACCTCAGTCTTTTCCACGGGTTGACTACGTTAACCGCTCATAGTACACTTTACACTGGTAGCCCCGACTAGGGAGTTTTGGACTTCCTCTCGTTCCGCTCCCAGCGACGCGATTGCTCGCTTCACACCCTTGTAGTGAGTGACTGTCGAGAATCGGCGGCGTCCCGGGCACAACCTCGTCCTCGAGGACGTTAAGTATGCGGAGCGCCACGTGCAACGCTACGAGTCGTGGCGTGCGGGCTCCCCTCGGCACGTCTGCGTCAGCGGGTCCGGCCCGGTGAGGATCCGCTCCTTTGCCAAGGTCTCCTTGTCCTTGAGCTCCTTCACCTCGTTGGCCAGCACGGCGTACGTCGACATCAGTCCAGACGCGCCAGCGTAGTCGCCCCGCTCGTTCAAAGCCGCCATGCTGGCGAAAGTCGCCTTCACCTCCTCCTCCTTGGCCATACGCTGGTCCTGAGGGGGCGGGCAGACAGGCGTCACGCAAGCGCCGGAAGCAACCAAAGGGTTGAGCGCGTGTGGCCGGAATGCGCCCGGCTAGATCTATTCCCATCCAAATCGGGTAAGGGCTGAATGTTATCTAGAGAAAGTCACCTGGTGCACCTTGGCATCGTGCATAACGTCAAGCATCACCTGGAGCCCACAGTCCAGGATGCATGTGAGCAGATTCTCACCCCTCCCCATCCATGGCATCCTTAGATGAGGAGGGGGGGGGGGGGCGCCTGCTGTTGGTCGGCGCGAACGCGGCTGCTGTCGGCGTGCTCGTGCGCCGCCCGCAACGCCTGACGGGTGGCGACGCGGAAGTGTGAGAGGCAGCGCATCTCGAAAAGCGTCCGGAGAGTCTCAGAGAGTCTTTGGAGCTCACCTCGAGGTACTGCTTGCCCCCCTCGAGGTGCCGCTCGTACGCCTTGGCCTGCAGGAAAGTGGCCAGGATTCTCCGAATCATCTCCGATCACCTCCGATTATACCCCAAGAGAGTTCGCTCCTGCTCCACGCAATACTCGAGGGCGGACATTTGCGCGCCCCTCGCCGGCGGGTTGTACACTGGCGGCGCGCGCTCAATCATCTGCAGGTGCGTCTCGTACGTGCGCCGCGCCTGGTCAGAGATGGACCGAACTGTGGGTGCGTGCGAGGTTGCTAAAAGCGCCCCCTACAAACGCCGCCTGCGCTAGATTGCTCTTCTGCGTCGCGATCGCCGCCGTGTCAATGTAGGCGAAAGCGTGCTCCGAGAGCGAGCGCAACCATGGAGAGATGATCGACTGCTGCACCTACATGGTTCAAGTGCAAGGGCGAGAGGCTCGCCGTTTTGCGGTTTAGCCCCACGCGCAATGCTAGGTCCAGTGTGCGTGAAAATGTCTAAGCGCGATGCTATGCGTGCCGCGCCGGAGTCGGCTGAGTCGACTGCAGCTGCAAAGCCAGCGGCGGCGGTTGCGACGATGGTGGGCGCAGCAGCGCCGGGCTGGCCTGCGGGGTTGTCCCCGACATCGTTGTGGCGGGAACCGCAACAACCCCAACCACCTCAGCCGGTATTGTCGGCGGGGTCGGCAGCGAAGTCCCACCCTCGTCGTGGTTGCGGGCGCGCGTCGGGACTCCAGCGGGTCCAGTGTCGGATTCGAGGTGAGCCGCGTCCTCGCTAGTGGGCGTCGCGGCGCGCGTCGCAGGGACCTCTGCGGCAGCCGGGGCGGCCGCCGCCGCATCAGGGGCCGCCGCCGCCGCACCAAGGGCGGTGGCCGGGGCCGGCACAGCCGTAGCCGGCGCCGCTGCTGCAGGGCCCGCCGCCTCCGCTGCCGCGGGCGCCGCCGCAAGCGGCGCGGCAGAGGCGTCATGCGCCGGTCCCATCGCCGGCGTCAGGGCAGTCGAGGGGGGCCGGACAGGGACGCCGCGAGGCGACCCCACTGCTGGAAGCACGCGGGGAGAGGCGCGAGGCGATCCCGCCGCCTGCTGCACGCGGGGCGACGCGCGGGGCGACGCGCGCGGGGACCGCTCGATCAACACCGATGCTGCCGATGCGCCCCCGCAAAGCCGAAGCGACGGGCCCTCGAACCCCCCCGCCCCCGCGTTGCAGCGCGGGTCCTTCGACTTGGCCTTGTGGCGGCGCAACGCCTGGGAGGGTGGGAATCTTGTCAGAGCCAAAGTGCGAGAGAGGCGAAGGGCGGTATGGATAGCGGGGAGGCGGGCGGGGGCTGACGAGCATGACTGCGGATAGCATGAGTGTGTCAAGAAACGAGCCAGTCACCGTGTTTGCAGCTTGTTGCGTCGGATGGACAAACGCCTTCCCGCAGCCTGCGCACCGCACCTAAGGAACGAATGAGTAGGGATAGCTGCAAGCCGAAAGCCGAACTGTCCGCCCGATGCTCCCGTGCTGAGTCAGTCAGACCAACGCGCATCCCAGAGTGTAAGGCCCCGCACGCGAGCAGCGAACCTCCACTTCCGGGTAGGCCTCCGCGAACGGCAGGGCCTCCGCGCGCGGCGACTCGAACTCCGTCGACGAGTCCGCAATGAGCTCCGTAATGCCGTCCTCGCCGGCCCAGCTCGGGTCCTGGAAGATGGAGACTTCCCGCGCGCCCTCGCCACCAGCCGCAGCATCGCCGCCCCTGCCCCTTCCCCTGCCCCTGCCCCTTCCCCTGCCCCTGCCCCGTCCCGCCGACGGTTTTGAGCGCTTGGCCGTGGAGCCAGTGCTGGTGCCGCTCGCAGGCCGCTTGCTGCTGCTGTCGCTGTCCCCGGGTAAGCGGCCAACGATCTCGTCCAGCACCGCTTGCACCTTCCCGAGCGTGGCCGCGTTGCGCTCGCTCCCGTTGAGCTTCAGGCTGACTGGTCGCGCAGAGACGTACCTAGAGGTGGCGAAAAGGCGGAGCCGAATGTGAGGCCGAAGATCTGGGAGGATGGACGTTCACAGGCGCGGTTGTGTGAAGTCAGCAAGAGTCAAGGCGATGATTTACCGACGGTGGGGAACGTGATGGACGGCTCTATAGGGGCGCGCACGCTAGCTTCTGGCAGCCCATCTGAATCTCCATGAGGCCGCCGCTCGTCTCGAGCTTGCCGCCCACGATGCGGTCAAGCGCGACCGGGGAGAGCTGCTGGTTGACAAACACCGCAAACTTCTTCAGCTCGTCGAGGAAGAATTTGAGCCGCTTCTCCTCGCTCTGCAAGGCGCACAAACTGGGCGTGATCCGAGCCGTACTGGCAGGGGGCCGGCTAACTCGCGTGAGCGGGGGACAGGCCCGCCGCTCGTGCAGCCGGCACGTCGGCGGGGGCGTGCCCTTCGGGTGCCATCTCAGGCTACTCGGCACCATATCCCCCATCTTGATCCTGCCCCAGTCCTTCTCGTCGTCAAAGCGGTAGTCGTACTCTGTGTAGCCGAGGGTGGAGGACTCGGAGAAGAGGCTTTCCGCCGTGAAGCCCACAGCCGAGTCGGCAATCACCCTCGCCGGCACAGAGTACATGTCGCATGGCTGCGTCCCTCCGTCAACTATCAAGTCGGTCCAGTGCATTCGCACATAGTCGCCAATCTGGACAGGTGCATCGGCAGGGGCAGAGGTGGTCTCCGCGTCGGACTCAGGCGAGGCCGCGGCGGGTAGGTGGTCGGAGAGGTACGAGCTGGTGTGGTGAGCGTGGAGCGGGAGTAGCCCCAGCCCATCCTCCATGGGTTCCATGATACAGCCCACAACCCGCGCGGGGACGGCTGGCGCCTTTTGGTCGACGACGAGGCGGGCAAGTCTTGGTGTTCATCATCGGCGGGCAAGTCGTGTTCATGTGTGAATGGGCGACGTACTGGAGAATAAAAGGGGGGTCGCGCCCGGGTGTGAATGTTGCGCTCATCGCGTCTCTGGTGCGGGGGCCGCCTCTCCCCTTCTGGATCTGTCTTGGCTTTGACGCGGGTGGGCATGAGGCGCGGAATTCGAGGCGCGACTGGCACACGGGCAACGGTCGCACTCTGAACGTGGCCGAGGTGCGTGTCTACACCGATCCCAAACCGACGGAGCCGCCACCGCCCGCGCTGCCGCCGTCGCCACCCTCGCCGCCCTCGCCACCCTCGCCTCCTCCATCGCCTCCATCGCCACCGCCCTCGCCGCCCTCGCCGCCTCCACCAGAGCCGGTCGGGCCCTATGACCTTTTCACCGGATGGGAGGGCTACCGCCTCGGGGACCTCTTCCTTTGGTCAGACCACTACGAGTCGGTTAAGCGGACCACGATGAGCAGGTTCCCAAACTCCCTTGGAGCAAAGTACGTCCGCGCAGGCGGGAGGACGCGCAGCTACGCATCATGCTTAACGTGATTTGCGAAGAGCCCGATGTCCCCGAGAACACGCCCCCCCCAGACGCAGTCGTCGTCCACCTGCGCGTCGGGGACGTCTGGGAACATCACAGTGGACGTATATGGGCTCGGTGCACATGAGCACTTACACGTCAGGGCGCGAGCCTTAGCTAAGATACGCGCCTACACGTGTCGGTGGTCATTTTTGACCCACTTTCCGGGGTTTGCCATCAACTGGTGTGAAGCCGGCAGGGAAAAAGGCGGTGTGTTGAGTATATGAGCGACCCGCGTGCCGTTCTCCCATCCCTCCCTTGGGTTGTCTGTTTTCTTTCTTTCTTTCTTTCTTTTAGCTCGAGGGTTGCTCTCGACTCTGGCCTTTTCGGGTCACGTAGCCACACCTCGCCTCCTCGGTGCGAGTGGCTGCCAGTTCGACTCTGGGGAGGATCGAACCATCAACACGGTGGGACTAGGTGGGAGTGGAGGGCGGCGGGATATGTGGGTGGAGAGGCAGACACGAGACAGACCAGAGCGTGGGCGTGTTCCGTGTTCGGGTGTTCGCGAAACGGAGCTCGCGGGCGGGTGCTTTTGCGGAATGGTAAGCCGTCATTGCCCGGCGCTGCTTGCAGCGCTCTGGGTGGTCGTAGTGGCGGCGCTCCAAGAGTGGTGCTCTTGGGAAGAGGTTCCTCCTTTCCGCTCCCCCCCCGCAAGGCGCGAGACACACACGGAATCTGCCTTGGGCCGCGCGGGAAGGGGGGAGCGCGCGATATACGTGTATACATCTACAATATCTCGCGCTCGAAAGGTGTGTGCGCGCCATTAGGTATAATAAAACCAGCTACGCGAGACGCGGGGCGGCCACCCGGCCGGCACCCCGCTCGAGTCGGAGCAGAGACGCGAGTGGAGCCGCGCGATTCGGTGGGGTCGAGTGGGGAGCCCGCCATTGGTAGCCGTAACGCGTAAGCACCGCCAGGTGAGCAATCTCGATGAGACAGTGTGTACTCGGAGAATCGAGACCGGAGGAGCGTGCGCAACTGGCCAACTGCTGGACACGGTGCTGCGGCGTGAGAGCAGGCCCTGCCGCCCGCCGCGCTTCGCAGATGTGACGAGGAAGAGGATGAGCGGCGTGGAGGCGGAGCGGAAGGCGGCGGAGGTGTACTTGGCCTCGAGCGCAGGCTTGGCCTCGAGGTTGCGTCTGAAGATCAACCACAGCCTTTGCATGTGCGAGGCCTTAGACAGAGCGGCAGGGGGGGATAACCGTGAGGTGATGCTGATGTCGTGGAACTGCGCGGTCGTTCCCAGGCCGTAGGATGCTTGAATATACTTTTTACCACGGACCACCACTGCAGTCGGAGGGGGGCGAGCACGCCACGCTCTACCGGCGCCGGCGCTGTGTCACGAACGGCGAGCTGACGCTCACCCTGCTCTCCACCAGCCAGGCCAAGAGCGAGGTGCCGCTGCCCGAGCTGCTGCACAGGCCGATGCCGCCGCCCTTCCAGGTGCCACTCGCGGCGCCTGCCTACACACGCGCCTCAGGCGGCGAGGAGGCGGGCGGCCGACGCGGCCAGCCCCGCGCAGCGCACGTACGCCGCCGAGACGGGGGCGGGGCAGCGGCGGTGGTGGAAGAGCGAGTCGAGCTTGAGCCGGACGGTGTCGACGGCGGTCTGCATGTACCACGAGCTGGCGTGGCTCTTGGCGACGTACTTGAGGTGGAGGAGGAGGGGCGGCACGATGCGCAGCCCGTGCGACACGGCGAGGAAGGGCGCGGTCAGCCCGACCATCAGGTCGGAGATGGCGGCGAAGGCGAGCGTCGTGTGGGTGCCTACCGAGGCAGAGGACAGGAAAGAGGTTGAGAACGGCCTGAGGCAGACTACTTCATTACAAGAATTCATAATGTACAATTCACAGCCTGCGGCCCGGTGACCGCTTGAGCCATGAGAACTAAGCGTGGCTACCTCGTGTGGTGGGCTGCTCCCATAGAGAGAGTGGGCGAGGGGACTCCGGCGAGAGGTGGGGAGATGCGGGGAGATGCGGGGAGAGGTGGGGAGGTGTGGGGAGGTGTTGGGAGATGTGGGGAGATGTGGGGAGATGGGACTCCGAGGTGATCACACTGCCAGCCACAATGGCGAGAGCAGCACGAGAGCAGCGAACAAACTAGCAGCCGCAGTCGCGCGCTGCTGCTGCCACAGCAGCAGTCTGCTGCTGCCCCAATACGCAGGTTAATGACCAGCATTACTGCCGGGGGCATTCGAGCCGCCACAGCCGTAGGTGGCTGCTGATGACTGGTGACTGCGCGCCTTCCTCGCCCAGCACCCAGATGGCGCGCTCGCGGACGGCGGCGGGCAGCTTGGTCAGCAGCGAGCGAGCGTGCGCGCGGGAGAGGGAGTGGTGCAGGGCGTAGGCGGCGGGGGGGACCAGGATGAAGGGGAGGGGCGGGAAGAGCGAGAGCAGGAGGAGGAGGGGGAGGCGCTGCATGTCGTCGCACCTGCGGGAGATGCGGGGAGATGTGGGGAGATGCCGGGAGATGCCGGGAGATGCCGGGAGATGTGGGGAGATGTGGGGAGAGGTGGGGAGAGATGGAGGCGCTGCATGTCATCGCACTTCCAGAGCCGCGCGTCCTTGAGCGTCGCCTGCGGGAGATGTGGGGAGATGTGGGGAGATGTGGGGAGATGTGGGGAGATGTGGGGAGATGTGGGGAGATGTGGGGAGATGTGGGGGGATGTGGGGGATGTGGGGAGATGTGGGGAGATGTGGGGAGATGTGGGGGGATGTGGGGAGATGTGGGGAGATGTGGGGGGATGTGGGGAGATGTGGGGAGATGTGGGGAGATGTGGGGGGATGTGGGGAGATGTGGGGGGATGTGGGAGATGTGGAGTCCTTGAGCGTCGCCTGCGGGAGATATGGGGAGATATGGGCGGAGATATGGACGGAGAACATGGGCGGAGAACACGGGGCAACAGCAGAGACGTCGTCATGAGGAAATCTCGGCTGGATCTCGGCTGGATCTCGGCTGGATCTCGGCTGCACCTCGGCTGGATCTCGGCTGCACCTCGGCTGCACCTCGGCTGCACCTCGGCTGCACCTCGGCTGCACCTCGGCTGGATCTCGGCTGCATCTCGGCTACATCTCGCCATGCTCAGAGGCCAGGAGCGGGAGAGGCTGAGCAAGCAGGTGGCGGCGGCGGCCCACAGCGCGCCGCGGTAGCACAGGTCGCGCCGCGCCGCACCTAGTCAGGGGGAGATAGCCGAGATCGAGCCGAGAGATCGCGGCAGCAGAGGCGTCGCTGGCTGAGCGGCGTGTGTGTGTGTGAGTGTGCGTGAGTGTGTGTGAGTGTGTGTGTACGTGTCTGCGCGACGCCCCAGCGTGATCTCCGGTCGATCTCGGCTCGATCTCGGCTCGATCTCGGCTCGGTCTCGGCTCGGTCTCCGGTCGATCTCGGCGCGATCTCGGCGAAATCTCGGCGAAATCTCGGCGCAATCTCGGCGAAATCTCGGCGAGATCTCGGCGAGATCTCGCCGAGCAGAGGCACAAAGTACACCAGCGTCAGAAGCAGCGTGAGGGGCGACAAGTCTCCTCCAGCCGCGGCGGGGACGGTTGGGACGCGAGGCGGCGGGCCGCGCTGCTGCGGCATCTGCGCCTCCGCGGCGGCGCCTGTTCTCCACTCACAGTCAAGCCATCAACCACGCGTTGCGCGCTGCTGCTGCATGCGCCTCCGCGGCGGCGGCGCCTGTTCGGTGAGGACTAGTCCCTCGTGAAGCACGCCTCGAGAGTGGCAACGTGGCAACGCGCTCTCTGGCGGCGCCCGAGAGCTTGAGCTGAATCGAGACGAGCGCCTGTTCGCGGCGTCTCTCTCGGCCATCTCTCGGCTCTCGGCGGTCTCTCGGCTGCCTCTCGGCTGTCTCTCGGCTCTCGGCTGTCTCTCGGCTGTCTCTCGGCTGTCTCTCGGCTGTCTCTCGGCTCTCGGCTGTCTCTCGGCTGTCTCTCGGCTGTCTCTCGGCCATCTCTCGGCTGTCTCTCGGCTGTCTCTCGGCTGTCTCTCGGCTGCCTCTCGGCCATCTCTCGGCTCTCGGCTGTCTCTCGGCTGTCTCTCGGCTGTCTCTCGGCTGTCTCTCGGCCATCTCTCGGCTGTCTCTCGGCCATCTCTCGGCCATCTCTCGGCTCTCGGCTGTCTCTCGGCTGTCTCTCGGCTGTCTCTCGGCTGTCTCTCGGCCATCTCTCGGCCATCTCTCGGCTGTCTCTCGGCTGTCTCTCGGCTGTCTCTCGGCTGTCTCTCGGCCATCTCTCGGCTGTACCTCGACTGAACCTCGGCTGTACCTCGGCTGCCTCTCGGCTGCCTCTCGGCAGTCTCTCGGCTACCTCTCGGCTAGTCCGCCGCCTCCTTCATCACCGCCGAGTCGGGCTCGTGTGCCAGCCCTTCCTCGTACGCGACGATGGCCTGCAGTCGGTCTGTCGTGTTTCACGATCAAGTCACTCCGTGCTGCAAGTCATCCTCGAAGAGACTCCCTTGCGTCACTACGTGCCTCCCCGTGGTTGTAGCCTGGCGCGTGTGCCCCGTCTGTGCCGCGTCCCGTGCCCCCGAGTCCATTTCAAATACAGGCGTCCCGCGGGGCCTCCAACGGCGTTGGCGAAGTGGTTGGTGGTTGGTGGTGGGTGGTGGTGGTGGTGGGTGGTGGGTGGGGAGGAGAGCGACGCTCCTCGCCCAATGGCGAAGTGGTTGGTGGGTGGAGGTGGTGGTGGGTGGAGGTGGCGGTAGGAGATGGTAGGAGATGGTAGGAGATGGTAGGAGATGGTAGGAGATGGTAGGAGATGGTAGGAGATGGTAGGAGATGGTAGGAGACGGTAGGAGATGGTGGGTGTGGGTGATGGTGGGTGGTGGGTGGCCGCCTGGCGCCAGTTGCGGAGGCCGACGTAGGCCGCGCCGCGGCGCGAGTGGCCCTTGGCCCAGGTGGGAGCGAGCTTGATGCACTGGTTCGCGTCCAGGAGCGACGCCTGGAACGCGAGGAGAGCGGCGGTGAGGGAGCGGCGGTGAGAGAGCGGCGGTGAGAGAGCAGCGGTGGCGGAGAGACAAGCGGCGCGAGGCAGTCGTGGGTGGCAAGGCAGGAGAGAGGCGCGTGGGTCAGGCGGCGGTGAGGCCCGCTCGCCTTGTACTGCTCGAGCTTCGCGTAAGCCGCCGAGCGGTTCGAGAAGAGAACGTGGCTCTGCGGGTCGGCCTCGATGGCGGTAGTGAAGTGGGCCACGGCATCGTCGAACCTGCCAGCCTTGAAGGCCGCGGTGCCGGACTGTTTCGCCTCCTCCGCCGCGCTTGGTGGCGCCGAGGCTTCAGCCATATACACACATCTTGGGGCGTTTACACGTCGCGAAAAAGAAGTTTACAAGCACGCACAACACGGGGTAGCGCCGCTCGGATAACAGAGATCGCTTGAATGCCGGCATTCAAGCGCGACAGTGCTAGCCGCCTCCGCGATGCTGAGCGGTGCATGAAGGGCGGCGAGCCGCTGACGCTGCTCGTCCTGAATTCACACACACTGTGTTCACACGTGTTTCCCCCCCCACCACACACACACACACACACACACGGACGTACGCATACGAACCGCATTATGACACAGATTCGAGACTCGGTCTCGAACTGGGGTCTCGAGGTTCGATCGAGTGGACGCCATCGGTTATAACCGACCAAGTTTGGTCATAGTTGACCACTCGGGCACCAAACTTGGAAATGCGGCGTCGAAGGAGATATGTTGAGATAGAGATCGTGTCTCGTCTAAGTAAGTGTGTGGGGGGAATTGACCACTCGGGCAAAATCGGCCGAGCCACAAGCGGAGTGGCGGCTGGCCGATTTAAGTGGTGTTTAAGAGCAACTGGCTCGCAAAGGTCGACAGCCTGGACCCGAAGCCCTCTCCATCCGAGCTGTACGACAACTTCGTCTACTCGGTGGAGGCCGATACCATGGGCTTCTACACCTCAAGCATCAGCAGTGTGGAAGCGTCACTCGGACCGCCGACCGATGACTGCAAGCCCAATGTCGATGCCCTCGCCGCACATATGCAACGTTATCTAACACGACAGTCGGCGCTCCACGCCCCGAGCACGAGGGTGCTATTCAGCGCGCCGGAGAGGAGGGGAGACAAGCCACGCGATCGGCCTGGAAAGGCCCGCGACCCCCCCTTCGCCAAAAACCGCGGCGCGCCTCCCAACCGTGAGAACCGCCCGAAACCAAGTGCCGGGGGCGCCAAGGGACAACGGCGTGATGACCGCAAAGGCGGGCGTAAGCCTGGCGGGAAGGAGCCCGCTGATAAGGCAGCGCTCCGCTGCCACCGGTGTGGCGCTTCAGGGCACACCCGCAGTGAGTGCCCCAAGCCGAAGCAAAGCTGCCCGTTCATCATGCCTAACGGGCGCAAGTGCGGCCAAGACCACCACATTAGCACGTGCTGGTACAAGGACCCAAGCAAGTGCCCCAACCCGCGTATTCGCGAGAGAATCCAAGAGAAGCTCAAACGGGCGAGCACCTTGCTCTCCACCGACAAACAGTCGAAGATACCGAAGCAATCCCGCACGCATGCCCTCCAAAAGGACCCCCTCAACACCCCCACCTCGAACCCATACATCGCACCAAACTGGACACCAGTGACGCGGGTATGGGTGAGCGGGGCACAAGATGAGGGAACCGAACTTGCCACCGTCGATACTGGGCGCCGCAGCAGCCAGCAGCCTATACCCCAGGCCTCGGCTGAGGGGGTGGGCGGCGGCGGCGCAAGGGCAGGCCAGCCACTGATGACCGCGAACATGACCCACGCAGTGTACATGCACACGACTGATTACGAGGAAATTACCGAGTGCATTGACGATGACGACGAGGAAGCCATAGAGCAGTTCGTGACGAAGCAAAAGATGCTGCGGGGCGATGACCCTGACGTTACTTACACCGTCGGCATCCCACCTAACTGCAAGGCGGCACTGACTGGCCCAGACAGCGACAAATGGATGCCATCATACGTCGAGGAACTTACGGCGCACCAAGAGAACAAGACCTTCTTTGTCGAACGCGTCCCCGCTAAGTGCCACGTGATTGAGCCCACGGTGGTGCGGGATGTCAAGCGTAACGAGAAGGGCCGCCCAGACCGCTGGAAGACTCGCCTCTGTGCTCGCGGGTTCATGCAGCGACAGGGCGAGCATTACTTCAACACGTTCTCCAACACAGTACGCTATGAGACGCTGCGATTGCTCTTCGGCATCGCCGCGGGCAACGACCTCGAGCTCACCAGTCTCGACATCAAGACGGCGTACCTGAACGGCCACATTGAGGACAACGTCCAGATCTACATGCGATTCCCTGCCGGCTGGGAGTTTGAGGGAGACGGGCACGAATACACCTTCAAGTATACCGGCCTCGACTTCCGTGCACACGTTCTGCTTCTCCTCAGCCTTCAAGACGTCGTTGCACGAGGGAAGCGTTGGTGGGATTGGTGGTGGTGGTGGTGCGGTGTACTCGGCGCACTTGATCGAGGTGAACTGCGTGCCGGGAGACTCGTTGTCATAGTGCTGGTCGGGGCCCGTTCCCGACTGCGAGGCGGACACCATGATGCTGCCCACGGGGCACATTGGCGAGATGAACTCGTTGTACGCGTTGGCCTCTGGCCACCTTGCCTCACCCAGCTGGCCGCCCACCTTGGTGCACTGCGCCTCGCCCTCGGTGCCAAGTGTGGTCCCGCACTCGTTGCCCGCGCCAGCCAGGCAAGAGCCAGTCACCACGTAGCCCTGCGGGCAGGTCTCATCACCGTGGTATCCCGTCAGCACGAGCTGGTTGCCGCCGTAGCCCCGTGGGAACGATCCGCCGTGCTGCTCGTCCTGGAACGCGTTTGGCATGTTGCTCTGGCCGAAGCCATTCGCCAGCCCGCCGAAGGCCTCGATTTCATCGCCCGAAAGTCTATCGTCCGCGTGTGTGTTGGCGAGGTCGGAGCCGACGAAGAACGAGCAGTACAGCCAGCCCGGGACCGTGATCGGGGAGTCCTTCAACTCCTCAGAGTTGCAGGGTTGGGAACCGGGGAGCATGTGCGCGTGGCCGAACACCGAAGGACTGGGGTTCGGGCAGTTGGGATCGTGGCCAGACGAGCAGAACTGCGTCGCTGCCCAGCCCTTTGGGCAAGACACGCGACCACCCCACCTCTGGGCGACGGCGTAGCACGGCTGGTTGGGAGCATTGGCGGCCCCACAGATGTTGTCGGTGCGGAAGCCGAAGGAATTCGGGCAGAACCGTCCAGTGGGATCGCAGCCATTGCAGTTGTGCTGGTCGCACGGGGTGATGACACAGTCGCGTCCCTCTTGCGGGTCGCATCTCGTCCCGCACTGCGCACTGGCCAACGCACGCTTACCGGCCCACGAGGGCTCGAGCGAGTCGATGGTGCGGTTCGGGATCGGGAGGCCCGCGGCCAGGGCGGCCATGCCGAGTGGGAGAGCGAGGCGCGTCAGCTGCATCGGCACTATTGAAGTGGGTGTGGCGCAATTGTCAGCACGCTCGCCGATCCTTGTTTGGGGCGCGTTTCCTTTTTGCAACTTCCTTTTTGTGAGCGTGCTGGCGATCCGCACAGCTTCTTCTCCGGTCGGATTTTTTTTGGCGTGCCGCCTCGTGAGCGCCCGATGACACTCACGCCCCACGCAACCCCTCTCTCTGTCTGTCTGTCTGTTGGCTCTGTCTGTCTCTCTCTATCTATCTGCCGGCTGCAGCTGCTGCATGCTCGTTGTTCACCGTACCACCGTCACTTTCTTTCTGAGCGCGCCTTCGATGTGGACAAACAAGCACAGACGAACAAACACTTCACACTCGGGCCCACATACAGTCGAGCCCGTGAACATACTAGTACGTCCGTTTCATCGCACGCCATCAGCGGGACACCACACAACCGCGTTCGTCTTCGAGAGACACCGTCACCGACCGCTGAGCGTTGTGGGTGCTGGTGAATTCATTTTCGCACAACACTGCGCGAGGCAAAAAGCGGAAAGCACACGGCGATCACGGGTATCGAGCTAATGAACAGACACTCACAGGAGCACAGCAGAGCTGCACTGGAGACAGAGAAGCGTACCGAGCGAGAGACACACACAAGACGAGAGACTCCAGAGAGGGAGAGACACGGAGGAGACACACGGAGTCGGAACCCCGAGGCGAGACGGGGGGGGCGACCGACGAGGAGCACATGCACGATGCAACGATCAACGCGAGAAGTGTACATCACTGGACAAGGACTGCTGAGCCAGGCGAGGGCAAGCGGCGGGGCGCGCGCAGGGGATGTCGGTCGCTCACTGGTCGCAAGTCGCGACGCACTTGCCTGATGTGGGGTCCCACGTCAGGGTCGCAAGCTGCTCTTTCGGTGTGGTGACGAGGCACTTGCCGGCGCACGTGTCCGGGAAGCCGTGGTTGCTGCACACGTTCTGCTTCTCCTCAGCCTTCAAGACGTCGTTGCACGAGGGAAGCGTTGGTGGGATTGGTGGTGGTGGTGGTGCGGTGTACTCGGCGCACTTGATCGAGGTGAACTGCGTGCCGGGAGACTCGTTGTCATAGTGCTGGTCGGGGCCCGTTCCCGACTGCGAGGCGGACACCATGATGCTGCCCACGGGGCACATTGGCGAGATGAACTCGTTGTACGCGTTGGCCTCTGGCCACCTTGCCTCACCCAGCTGGCCGCCCACCTTGGTGCACTGCGCCTCGCCCTCGGTGCCAAGTGTGGTCCCGCACTCGTTGCCCGCGCCAGCCAGGCAAGAGCCAGTCACCACGTAGCCCTGCGGGCAGGTCTCATCACCGTGGTATCCCGTCAGCACGAGCTGGTTGCCGCCGTAGCCCCGTGGGAACGATCCGCCGTGCTGCTCGTCCTGGAACGCGTTTGGCATGTTGCTCTGGCCGAAGCCATTCGCCAGCCCGCCGAAGGCCTCGATTTCATCGCCCGAAAGTCTATCGTCCGCGTGTGTGTGGCAGTAGCTAGCACCTTGGCCGCCTCCTCCTTGGCGATCTGCAGCGCGGACCTGCCGTCTGCAGAGCGAGCCTCACATCTTCTGCAGCAAGTAAGCGGAGCAAGTTGGGGAGGTGGCCATCGGCGGCGGCGCCCATCAGCGCGGTGAGGCCGCCTCTCTGCTGCAAGTTGATCTCCGCGCCGTGCCGAATCAGCAACTCGACCACCCGCTCGTGGCTGTTGGTGGCGGCGCTCATCAGCGCGGTGCCGCCGCCGCTGTCCTGCAGGTCGACCTCAGCGCCGTGCCGCAGCAGCAGCTCGACCACCCGCTCGTGGCTGTTGGTGGCGGCGCTCATCAGCGCGGTGCCGCCGCCGCTGTCCTGCAGGTCGACCTCAGCGCCGTGCCGCAGCAGCAGCTCGACCACCCGCTCGTGGCCTGTGTCGGCGGCGAGCATCAGCGCGGCGACGCCGACGCCGCTCTGCAGGTTGATCTCCGCCCCATGCAACGACCAACCGCTCGTGGCCTTCGATGGCGGTGTGCATCAGCGCGGTGTCGCCGTTGCTGTCCTGCATGCTAACCTCAGCGCCGCGCCGAATCAGCAACCACCCGCTCGTAGCCGTATTGGCGGCGCGCATCAGCGCGGTGCCGCCTTCGCTCTCCTGCAAGTTGACCTCCGCGCCGTGCCTGCCGATCGCCGCCGTCTCGCACCCGTCCTCTATTTCTTTTTTTGAGCTAGACTTCGTTGTTAATAGGAACAAGCGAAGGCACACACGACATGACGCCAAACACACGATTGCACGCACCGCACCGCACCTCGCACCCGCGCCCGCCGCCCCCCCGACCCCCGCCCCGCCTAGGTGGGAAAGAGATGAGGAGATGGGACAGCGAAGGAGGAGCCCAACACGTATGGGAGGTTTCGTTGATGCGTCACGCTGCCCGGCGTTTCTCACTTTCCGGGACAGCCCCGCCCTTGTGAGGCAGGAAAGTGACGACTACCCCGTACGGAGGCGTACGCCCGGTTGCATCATACCCCCTCGCCGACCGCCCATCCCCCCTCCTCGTTCCCCCCTCGGTGAGCCGATGATCGTCGAGCCTCTGACCTGCGCGCCCCCGACGCCCCCCCCCCCAACACACACACACACACACACCGCCGCCGCGCGAGCGCCGCGCGGCGGCACACCCAGCTCAAAAGAAAAAGAAAAAAGGGAATGAGGAGACCAGCGGGGGAGACTCCCCGCCTATGCAAGCCCCAGAGAGGGGCCGCCATCGCCGAAGCTGTGCCAAAGCATAACTCCAAAACCCGCAGCGGCCCAGGGGGCCTTGGGGGCAGCCTGCCGGACCGCCGCTGCACGGGGCTAGGCACCAGAAGATGAGTGGAATTGATGAATTGGGCCGTTGTCCGTGCCTCCCCTCTATACGTCAGAGTGGGACCTACGCCGCGCCGGGTAAGGGGCGCGCCCGGTCCTCGACGGAGCCGCGCGCCCCAAACGACCCAGGCGGCGAGTAGTCGTCCTCGAACCTTCGACATGTAGTTGCCCATAGTTAGCGCCCGCCCGCCCCCCCCTCTGTCGCTTCGCAAACGAAAAACAAAATAAAACCAAGCAAAAGAAAAAGCGAGGCCAAAAAACGATTGCGTAAACGGCGTCACAAAGCCCGCCGGTTTTGATCGACAATCGTGAGATTGACCGCCGTCGACCAGAGAATTGACGGCAGCATGCAGACGATGTGCCAGCTTGCACGGCGCTCGCGCCGCGCCGGCTGGCTCATCGACCGCGCTCTCTGGTGCCATCCGGGCCACGCGCGGCGCCGCGCGTGCCTCGCGCCACTCGCCTCGGCTGGCAGTACAGCGCCAAAGCCGCCTCGCAAACACCGCGCACAGCACCAGCATGCTGCCCACCAGGCAGCAGAGTGCTGCACCGGCGTGCAGCGGATGCTGCGGCGCTGCGGTGCCGCCTCCCCGCCCTGTCCACGGAGCAGGCGAGCGGCGGCACGGCCTTCCACCAGCTGCAGGAGGTGCGCACTTCGCAGTGGAAGCACAGGATGCTCCCTCCGCAGACGCAGCTTTACGCAGCGCAGCACACGGGCTACGGCACACGGGCTACGCCACGCAAAGCCGACCCTCAGTCTGCCCAAGAGGCTGTCTGCGGAAGGCCTGGCAGCGCGTACTCGCCTCCTCCGCGGCCATGCCCTCCGCCCGGGCGAGCGAGGAGCGGGGACACAACCATTTCTGGAATCGTGTGTCCCCGAAGTTCGTTTTTTTTCGCACAACGTGGTACCTGTGTTCCCGTGCCTCGACAATTGCCGCTGGTAGGCGCGCCGCGCCAAGCCATGGCGGGCGCGCCGCGGCCGCGCGCACCCTTCGTCACAATGCCAACCGCGCGCGGCCGTCGACCGGCAAGCACACACCTCGACTCGGACACAGTGTTCCGAGGGCAAGGGAGAGGGGCTGGCTCCTAGCCCGAGAGGGGAGCTTCCGAGACCCACTACATGACCACGCACACATCATCCCGCAGCCTCGCGGTCGGCGGGATTGCAACCAGTCTTCGCGTGCCGCCTGTCGTTCGACTCGGGCGCCTTGAGCGTCGGGGTGGCGAGCAGGGGACGCGGCTCTGAGCGCCCAGCGACGCGTGCCGGATGGAGTCCGGCCGCGGGTGACTAGGGGAGTTCGCTCAGGATGTGTGGCAGCCACGTTGGCTGAGTGTCTTGTCTTGTGGTCTGTGTGTCGCTCCTGTGTGACCGTCATCGCCCGTCTTGTCTGTCTGTCTGTCTGTTGGCTCTGCCTGTGGGTGCAAGACCAAGAGACCTGTGATGGGCGATTTGGGGAGATGACAGATTGTGAGGAGACGTGAAGTGGTGAGGAGATGATTACTAATTTACATAGATGTATGTATGCAATGCAGTGTGCACACACAGGCTGGAGCAGGATAGAGAGAGAGAGAATCTCTCACCCCGTTGATTGGGTTGACGAAAAGTGGAAAGTGAGATCGGGTGGGAGACATAGTGCGATCGGCACAGTGTCGGCAATGAAAAGTGAGTAAAAGCGGCGGCAGGACCAAGCGAGAAGCACAAAGCCCTTCTCTCTCACTTTCACCATGGCCTTCCGCAGCCTCGCCTTCTCCTCGATCCTCATCGCCCACTCGTACGCCTTGCCGGTCGTGGCGAAGCATGACAACGTGACGATCCGTCGAGCACTTCTCCAGCTCGAGAGCAAGGCGCCGAGTTGGGTTTCGGCGGCGCTCAACGCCCAGACGCACGAGTGCGTCTACGACTCGTGCCCTCAGATCTTGGTCGAGGGCGCGGGACAGGACAATACCAACGGCATCTACACGCGCGACCCGCGCAAATCGTGCGACGACGCGCAGTACGGTACCGGCGCAAACTGGGAGGGCTACAGGAACGCCAACAACGCCATCTTTTCCTTCGGGCCACCGGGACGGGTCTGGGAAGGGTGGCGCATCGTCACGAGCGGCCATGTTCGCTACTACCACGCCGGCGACGCCAACGGACCGATCCCCGAGGGGCAGTGGCTGCAACGAGAGGGTGGCGGTCACGGCGGCGCCCTCCCCCTCCCGACTGTCACGTGCCTGAGCGGGGTGGACGTGGTGTGGACGGTCGTGTCCGCCAGCCCGGACGCGCAGTTCAAGACTACGACCGCGCAGAGTTACTCGGAGGAGCAGGCTCGGATGGCGGAGTCATCACTCTCGCTTGGGGCCAGCTACTCGGGCGTCGACGTTTCCACAAGCTACACCAACTCCGTGTCACGAGTGGTGAGGTCGGGGATGACAAACACACGCGAGGAGACCTGTGACAATCCTTGCGGCAGCGACCGCAAGCTGTTTGTTCAGCAGTTCTCCACTGGCTCCATCATGGCAACGCCAGAGTGTGGACTTGTGACCTGTGTGCCGTACGACGCGCCCGACCCACAGTGCCCGATCGAATACTGCGGGGGTGACCTGCTGTCCGGGTGCCAGTGCTGCACCAGCCTCGAATTCCTTGACCCGAGCTTCACCGGCCCGCGCCCGCCGCTGTGCGCCACGGACCACGCGCCAGACTGGGCCCCGGTCGACGGCGCGATGAGTGACTGCGTCTACGACACGTGCCCTCAGATCTTGGTCGAGGGCGCGGGACAGGACAATACCAACGGCATCTACACGCGCGAGTCGGGCAGGTCATGTGACGACGCGGGCTACAGGAACGCAAACAACGCCGTCATTGTGTTTGGAGGCGGGACCGGCCCCGGCTGGCTTGAAGGGTGGCACATCGTCACGAGCGGCCACATCCGCTACTACCACCCGGCCGAGCCTGGCTCCACTATCCCCGAGGGGCAGTGGCTGCAACGCACGGGAGGCGGTCACGGCGGCAGCACTCCCCTCCCGACGGTCACGTGCCTGACGGCGGTGAACGTTGCCTGGAGGATCGTGTCCAGCAACCCCACCGCAACCTTCCAAACAACCATTGCGCGCGAGTTCGACGAGATGGACGAGCGGACGACCGAGGTGGCGGTGTCGATCGGCGCCAGCTACTCGGGCGTCTCGGCGTCGTCAAGCTACACGAACAGGGTGTCGCAGAAGGTGACCGCGGGGCTGTCCAACACGCGAGAGGAGACCTGCCCCAACCCATGCGGCGAGTCGCGCAACCTGTGGGTGCAAGACTACGCGACTTCGTCGTCTGTCATTACACCCGAGTGCGGTCTCGTGACCTGTGTTCCATACGGCGCCGTGCCTCAGTGCCCTCTCGAATACTGCGGTGGCAGCAGCCTGCGTGATGGGTGCCAGTGCTGCAACAGCCACAGCTTCATCGACAGCACAAGCAAAGCGAGGCTCCTCGAGCTCGGCCAGCTCCCGCCGCTGTGCTAGCTTTGCGTTCATTACCGAGAGTTCATTACCCCCGGGGCTAGTAGGGCAGCGTGCGAGGCCGCCGGCGCGCAGCGCCTCTCTCTCCCCAGCAAGACTTGTTGAGTAGTTGTTCTTTGTTGAGTAGAGTCGTTGAGTAGAGGGTCGTTGTTGAGTACAAGAGAGTCGTTGGACACTGCTGTGGTCTGTGCGCTGTCGTTGGAGAGAGCGGTCTAAAAAAGACGAGTCGGTGTTTTTCCGTGCGGCTTGAAACGATGGCCCTTCCTCCATGCCTTCCTCGATGGGCGGCGCGAGGGAGCATAGGCTTGCGTATTATAGCACAACTCTCGCATCATCTGACACGAAAAATGGCGGCGGGACACTCTCGACGTCACCTCTCGAGGCCTCGCGTGCCCCGCTACCGGCGCCGTCCCCGCTTGCCCACGTAGTCCGGCCCGGCCGCCGCCGCCACCCACTTGTCGAGGAAGCCGTCAAACTCGGGGCCGCCCATTGCGGCGAGGGCGGCGTCGCTCGGCACCGGCGGCGCAAAGGTCGAGTTCTCGACGACGTGCCGCAGCAGGGTCAGGGCGGCGCGCGGGCGGAAGGTGGGGACCATGTGGGCAGAGCCGTGCACCGTGGCGAAGGAGAGGCCGTGCTCGTAGTCGGTCACCTGCCCGCCGAACTGCGCGCCCGCGCCGGCCGAGGCGAGGAGGCCCCCGAAGAGGACGTCCTTCCGCGCGAGCAGCTCGGGCGGCGCAGCGGTCATGTTGTAGAGCCACGGCCGGGTCGGCTGCACCTCCTTGAAGCCGACGCGCAGGAGCGCCTCGCGCGCCCCCTCGTATGAGACGCACGGGTCCGTGTCGCCCTGGGGGGGGGGGGGGGGGGTCCCGCGCCTGCCCCCGTCTGAGCCGCTGGCGGGGCAAGGGCGGGCCAGCCGGCGGCGGCGGACGAGGGGGCGGGCTAGCGGACGAGGGGGGCGGCGCGCCGTTGAAGACGACGATCCGCCCGGGCAGCGCGGGGGCGAGGCGTCGGTAGATGTCGACCATCGAGTCGATGCCGGGCGGCGCGCGGTCGTTGCAGGCCGCGTAGGAGGAGCTGTAGCTCCATCCCGGCGCGGGGCCGGGCCAGGCGGAGGGGGCGCCTGCCACGTGCAGCGCCTCGCGCACGGGCTGCGAGTTGAGGTAGGCCGCAGTGCGGTAGTTCCACGTGCCTGCGGGTGTGGGGGGGGGGGCCTCGCGTCACGCGCACCGCCTCGCGGCGGGCTGCGGCGCGCCGGCTCCGCGCGCCCGGCAGGTCGAAGCGGTACGGCCCGGCGGGCGAGTAGAGGGAGAGCTCGTGCCTGAGCGGCCTTGCGCGCCGCCGCCGCCGCCCGCTGCTCCTCTCGCTGCGCTTCCTCAGCCGCTACCCTTTCCGCCTCCCTCGCCCGCAGCGTCCCCTCAGCGCCGCAGTGTCCGCCGCCCGCCGCGCCTTTCCGCCGCTCGCTTCGCCTCTCGCCTGCTTGCCGCCTGCTCGCGCTCTCGCGCCGCCGCCGCCTCCTCCCGCTCGCGCTGCTCGCGCCGCCCCTTGGCCTCGAGCGCCTTCTCTGCCGCCTTCTCTGCCGCCTCCGCTCCCCTCCGCGCCGCTGCATGCTCTGTGAGAGCGCGCGCGCACCCGGCGTGGTCCGCTTCAGGAGCACTGGCGGCGTCGGCAGTAGCTAGCACCTTGGCCGCCTCCTCCTTGGCGATCTGCAGCGCGGACCTGCCGTCTGCAGAGCGAGCCTCACATCTTCTGCAGCAAGTAAGCGGAGCAAGTTGGGGAGGTGGCCATCGGCGGCGGCGCCCATCAGCGCGGTGAGGCCGCCTCTCTGCTGCAAGTTGATCTCCGCGCCGTGCCGAATCAGCAACTCGACCACCCGCTCGTGGCTGTTGGTGGCGGCGCTCATCAGCGCGGTGCCGCCGCCGCTGTCCTGCAGGTCGACCTCAGCGCCGTGCCGCAGCAGCAGCTCGACCACCCGCTCGTGGCTGTTGGTGGCGGCGCTCATCAGCGCGGTGCCGCCGCCGCTGTCCTGCAGGTCGACCTCAGCGCCGTGCCGCAGCAGCAGCTCGACCACCCGCTCGTGGCCTGTGTCGGCGGCGAGCATCAGCGCGGCGACGCCGACGCCGCTCTGCAGGTTGATCTCCGCCCCATGCAACGACCAACCGCTCGTGGCCTTCGATGGCGGTGTGCATCAGCGCGGTGTCGCCGTTGCTGTCCTGCATGCTAACCTCAGCGCCGCGCCGAATCAGCAACCACCCGCTCGTAGCCGTATTGGCGGCGCGCATCAGCGCGGTGCCGCCTTCGCTCTCCTGCAAGTTGACCTCCGCGCCGTGCCTGCCGATCGCGCCGTCTCGCACCCGTGCTCTATTTCTTTTTTTGAGCTAGACTTCGTTGTTAATAGGAACAAGCGAAGGCACACACGACATGACGCCAAACACACGATTGCACGCACCGCACCGCACCTCGCACCCGCGCCCGCCGCCCCCCCGACCCCCGCCCCGCCTAGGTGGGAAAGAGATGAGGAGATGGGACAGCGAAGGAGGAGCCCAACACGTATGGGAGGTTTCGTTGATGCGTCACGCTGCCCGGCGTTTCTCACTTTCCGGGACAGCCCCGCCCTTGTGAGGCAGGAAAGTGACGACTACCCCGTACGCCCGGTTGCATCATACCCCCTCGCCGACCGCCCATCCCCCCTCCTCGTTCCCCCCTCGGTGAGCCGATGTCAGTCGCGCTGCAGCTCGCGGCGGCGGAAGAGATTGCGACCGAGCTCAGGCTCGCCGCGGCGTCGGAGGACGCCGCCGTCGCCTAGACCCCCCTGCGTCACTACGTGCCTCCCCGTCTTTGTAGCCTGGCGTTTGTGCCCCGTTTGTGCCGCGTCCCGTGCCCCCGAGTTCATTTAATAAAACAAGAGAGGAGCAAGGCCACCTTTGGGTGCGACTCACAACTTGCGCGGCGCCCGACTCCCCCGACATATATGCGCGCTGCAGCCTCGGCCGGCATCGCGCGCGAGGACTCGCTCCAGTCGGTCTCCAGCGCGCTGCTCGCGCTCCTCGACGAGGGGCCGGCGCCCGACCCGGATGCCGGCGAGGTCCTCTCCTTTGACGGCCACATCGAGGGCGCCTCGTGCAGGCTGACCCCCGTGCGATGCGGCCTGCACGACGACATGCTGACTGTTCGCCCTGGGTGCAGCGGCAACCCGCTAGCCCTGACGCGCTCGTACACGTTGTGCGACTCAAAGTGGATCACGGGCTTCCTCCCGTACTTCATCACCACCTATGAGACCGGCGAGGTCGAGTGGGATGGAAAGGTCTTTGAGATGCCACTACTGCACGCGTCAGGGCGCCAGGCTTGGTTTCGGGTCACGGTCTCGGTGGACAGGGGTGACCCGAGCGGCTTCCGTGCCGTTGCTCGCTCCATCAGCCCCGACGCGTGCTTTGCCTCATCGCTGCAGTCGTCGCTGTCGTTTGGCGCCAGCCTCGACGGCCGCGAGTCGCCCCTTTCCGTCAGCCTCGGGGAGGATGCGCCCATGGGGTGGAGTCTACTGACCATCGAGTCGATTGTAGAGGCCACCGTCGGATCCTCGAACGCTCCGGGCCCCGCGGCCAAGGCCGGCTGGTCGGCGGAGGAGGATGAGATCATCATGCGCGCCGTCTCGAAGATCGGGACCATCTGGAGGAAGATCGCCTTGATGCTGCCTCCCTTGAACGACCGCGGCGACCGCCGCACCAATCACGCCGTTCGCAACCGCTGGCTGCGGCTTGAGAAGCGGAAGGACAAGGAGCCGGCAGTTTGCGATATTCCTCTTTTGGGAGCGGCACCGGCATCGGCAGACCGAGGCGGCGACATGTGGTCGCCACAGGAGGACAAAGCCATTGACGAGGGGGTGCGAGATGGCCTCTGCTGGAAGGCCATCGCCGCCACGCTCTGTGGCCGCTCCGCCAGCTCGTGCCGTAGCCGCTGGCTGCGGGAGCGGAAAAGGCAGCTTGCTGCAATGGGAGTGGCGGCGAAGAACGCGGGCGAGATCTTTGCAGAGTCCCGCCGCATCGGGCTCCACTTGCCCGATCGATCCGATAAGAAGGCGGGTGCCGCTGCGAGCGGGCCGCCGAGCAAGGCTCTGATCCCGACGCCGGTCGCGATCGACACGGCCGTGACGCTCAGCAAGTCCACGGGCAGCCTCTCGCAGATCGCAGAGTACATGACCAGGCTGCTCGCCTTGGGGTGCAGCGGGAAGCCGCTCACCGACCGGTATTCGCTGCTGTTTGCCGTCCACGTCGTGATCGACGTCGCCGAGGCGCAAGACTGCCACGGCCTGAATGCCTTTGCGATGCAGTCGGCGTGCCAGCTCGGCTTCCCATTGAGCGCCGTGAAGCCCAAGGAGGGGCCGATTACCTGCTCCTCGCCGCTGCGAGTCGCCGTCCCAAACGCCGTCTCAGACCTCTTCTACTCGCCCTGCATGGTCAGCGTGCGTACACTGTCGGGCTCCAACCTCGAGGCGAGGCGGCTCGTCGACGATGTGCTCGGGATGCACGACGGGGCGGGCGCGCAGCAAGGCCCAACCCCGAACCAGCACTTTGCCGAGTACGTGACCGCGCTCGGCGGCGACGGGATCCCAGACCTGTGGTCCAAGCCCGGCAAGCTCCTCGAGCTCTTCTTCGATAACGTCCCCGATCGCCAGCGATTCGCGCGTCTGTTCTCTGAGGCGCTGAGCGCCCCGCTGACGCCGATCGACTCGTTGTGCAAAGTCGGCCAGACGCAGGCCGACAGCCCTTTCATGCTGGCGCTGAAGCGGGACAGCAAGTATGTCCACGCCCTCTCGGCGCTGGGAGTCCCACTCTCGCCGGGGGACGACGACTCCGAGGTGGTCGTTCCTCACACGGCCTTCATCCGGCGCTGCGTCACGAGCGCCGCCACCTTTGTGGTGCACGTGCTCTCGCCGTTCGGGCCCGGCGGAGCGGGGCGCTTCGACTTTGAGATCGACAGCCTCGTGCAGCGCAAACGCCTCCGAAGGCCTTCGATAGAGCGCGCCTACGACGAGCCGGGGACAGACCGCACGGCTCTGGGCAGCAAGGCGGCGAGGGTAGACTCCTCTGGCAACACCTGCACGCCTCCCCTGCGCACCGACGTCAGGCTCATGGCGTAATCTCTGCGGACTGCGCTGTCGGGCTACGCTCACCCCTCATGGGAGGCGTCACATCCCGCGGGCTGCGTTGTCGGGGTCGCACCGCGCCGGGCCATACGCATCGGCAATGTGTCTATTGCAATAGAGCCGTTCGCCGCGGCACCCCTCATGCCTCAATCTCGTCTTCTCGTGACAGCGAGTAGAGAACCGTTCCTCTCTAGCTCTCTTATCTGCCCGAGGCGCGGCACAATCTGCGCAGGTATACCTAGCTTAAGTGTGCAGTCTCGGTGTACACTGATGTTTATTGCGCGTTAAATCTCAGACAAGATTTCAATTAATATGGCCCGACAGATTCCGAGTACCGAGAATCAGACACGTCAGAGACAGACACAAAGTGACTTCACTCAAGGCACTGCAACAGACGGCGGCATCAATAATCAAAGTACGGGAAGGGAAAAGGAAGGGACTTGAGGCGGAGAGGAAGGAACGAGTAGCCGCGGAAACAGAACGCCTGAAAGAGGGACAGAAGGAAAGGAAGGAGAGGATACGAGAAATGGAGTGGGCGGCGAATGCGTGTATTTGCTGGCGACGGAGGCGACATCGACAACGTGAGGCCGAGGAGAAGGAAAGGGAAGAGGCAGAGAGACGCCTCGAAGCGGGGAGAGGCAGAACGACGAGAGCGATGGGGATGACACTCAAAACGACCCACTGCGAGCTCGAAGGCGAAGGCCAGCGCAGGAAACGCGGTGATAGGAACGACGATGCGGCGAGCGCCGGAGGGAAGCGACGACAGCGAGGGGACGAGGACGGCGAGCAGAGAGGAGAACAGACGGCGAGCGGCGCACGCGAGGGCGACCTGTCTGGTATAGCCCCAGCCGACTCCGCGTGAACACGAGGGATCTCGAGTTGCGGAGCGTCTGGTGCTTCAGTCGAGTTGCATGGCGATTTTCAAGCTCCGCGGCCGCCTGTCTCCGTCGCGAGCCTGCCGTGGTCACCTCTGGCAATACTGAGGCTCTGCTCGTCGGAGTTGGACGAGTGTGTGAAGGCCGCGGGCGCCAGCACGGAATACGGTGTGTGCTGCGCCGCAGCGCGCGCTGCACACACCGTATTCTGACCCGAAGCCTCGGACGCCCTCGAGCGAGGCGCTCGACGTCACATTGACAGTGGGCCCCTGTGGGCCCCGCCTCAGCAAGCTCAGAGCTGATACTGAGATGGTGGCCTGGCACGGTCCACCGGTCGCTGCGACCGGGCACTCGACCGCCTGCGCGAGCTGGTCTGCGCAAGTCCTGCGCAGCTCGGACGTCGACGCGAGCCAATCCGATGCCTTTGATCGACCGATGCGAGCTCGCGCGCGCGCGCAAAACGCGCGACTCTGCGCCTTCGGCGCGGCTGCACCGCCAGCGCGCGGCGCGGCGCGCAGAGTGGACGAACATACCAGGCCAGAGTCTGGGGCTCTGCTGCGCAGAGCTGACGCGCAGAGGGGGAGAGAGGAAGAGGTGTGTCCTCGGACGCGCGCCAGTGCTTTTTTAAGATAGTGTTATGATGAAGGAACACTACGGCAACTCTCCGACACCCGCACTCGCCACTCTCGAGGTACACTCTCCCCCTTGAGCGCTTCTGCGTCGCGCTCAAACTCGACGTCGCTCGCATCCGCGCGCACGACCGCATCGCAGCTGTGGGCGCCGGCCAATGAGTGCCAGGTGGGTGCTCCAGGGGGGGCCGCCGAGAGTTTGCGAGGAGCATGACCTCGCCAGGCTCGCCACGGCGGTGAAGTTGAAGCGACTGTAGCTGCAGACGCTCCCAGCTGCTCGGTACGAACTCTGTTCACACCGAGTAGCTGGGAGTGGCTGCGGCTATAGCAGACAGGAGGGCGACCACGTAGGAGAAAACAGACGGGACGAGGGGAAGGAAACGCGGCCCGCCAGGACGCGGAGGCAGACGGCAAGATACGTCGCCGGACCAGCGACAGGAAGCGCAGGAAAACAAAAAGAACAAGACGAGGAGCATGGAGACGAGGGAAGGCGCGAGGCGCTCCGCCAACAAGCAGCAAAAGAATTTCCGCTTTAAAAGAATTTTAACAAAAGGTCTAAAAGAATTTAAACAAAAGAACTCTCTCTCACAGCAGACAGGCTCGACACAGGTGCGAACTGGCGCGTGCTAGTACTATCACCGGCACACCTAAAAGAAATTTCCTCTAAAGAATTCGCACCTGGGTCACGGTTGCCTCCATGAACGGCGGAGCTATTCTCGCGCCCACACCACACCTGGCTCCAACGTGGACACGCCCATAGCTGGGGACACTACTAGGTCACGCATGGCATCAGAAGTTTTGTCTCTGGGCCCCGAAAGGCATCTCTAGCAGCGTCGTTACACATGCCCCCTCCCCTCCTGGGCGCATGCGCCTCACGTCTCGCCAGAGCATAAGCCCTTGGCGTGTGGCGAGACGAGTTTTTCGCCATGCAGCGAGCAGCAAGCCGCCCGCCGCAAACAGCCGGAGGCCTCGCCACACACACACACACACACGCCCCACCCTCTGTATCTGGGCGGCAGGCGGGACTAGAGTGGCACGCTGGTGCGCGGACGGGGGCGCGAGCCGCCATCTTAGACTGTGAGGCGAGTATTTGCAACCGGGAGCTCGCCGCCGCCCCTACACCGCCGCGGCTGCCCTCCCGGTGGCAGATAATAGCCCAAGTCGACGAGTGCGCCTCGGCCTCGGTATCTCGGCGGCAGAGGTGATCTAAGAGGCGAACCAGAGCACGGCTGGGCGTGTGAGCAGCCTTGTTGCACTATTTGTCATCAGGAGCGCACCGCCGCCCCTACACGGCCGCCGAGAGGCAAGAGCACAAGCAAAAATAGTCCGAGTAGAGGCAAGTCTAATAAACACATTCGGAAGCGGGGTAGAGGGACGAGCGCATCCCGGCCTATATCTCGGTGGCAAGCGAGGCGACCCGAGAGGCGCACCATTGCGCGCGGCTGGGTGTGAACACAGCCCTGGTGGATCAAGGCGCGACAACACGCTCTCCTATTGAACGCTGAAGGCCTGCATCAGCTCAAAAAAGAAAACATGGCCTAACTCAGGGACGGACGATATCGTCCGTCCCTGAGGCAGTGTAACGTCGGGCGTGAGAGGGCTCGGACTGACTGCCACCAGGCCTTGACGGATATGCTGAAGTGCCCCAAGTGCGCCCGACAATGCCGCTCACGGATGCAGGTGTCGTTCCACCTGCGTCTCGATCACGCGAACGACACAGACGCAGCTGCAGCTGCAGTGCGTCTCGCACGCTGAGCAAAGAGCGGTCCGGCAGCGGGCCGCCAGGAATGGGGCCGAGCGGAGCTGAGTGGAGCCGAGTGGAGCCGAGTGGAGCCGAGCGAGCCGAGCGAGCCGAGCGGAGCCGAGCGGAGCCGAGCGGAGCCGAGCGAGCCGAGCGAGCCGAGCGGAGCCGAGCGGAGCCGAGCGGAGCCGAGCGGAGCCGAGCGGAGCCGAGCGGAGCCGAGCGGAGCCGAGCGGAGCCGAGCGGAGCCGAGCGGAGCCGAGCGGAGCCGAGCGGAGCCGAGCGGAGCCGAGTGGAGCCGAGTGGAGCCGAGTGGAGCCGAGTGGAGCGAGTGGAGCCGAACAGAGCTGCCACCGCACCATCTGGCGTTAAGACTTAGAATTCTTAAGATACAAGCCTCTCTCACAGCACACTGGCACGACAAGACTTAGAAACGCTAAGTGATCTCTCGTGTGTGTGTGTGTGTGTGTGTGTGTGTGTGTGTGTGTGTGTGTGTGTGTGTGTGTGTGTGTGTGTGTGTGTGTGTGTGTGTGTGTGTGTGTGTGTGTGTGTGTGTGTGTGTGTTTGTGTGTGTGTGTGTGTGTGTGTGTGTGATTGATTGATTGATTGGTGGGAGCGAAACATAGTCCGACCAACCACTGGGTGTTTGTTTATTTGTTTTCTCAAAAAAGAAATCACACGCCCAACCGTGCCTGCCCGGGCCGTGCCTTCAGCCTCGCGTCGCCGTGCCTCGGCCTCCTCGCCCTGCGCAGCGGCCTGGCGCGCTTCAAGGACCCGCTCTTCGCCGTGGCGATGCGGCTGCAGATCGCGCAGCAGTGCGTTGGGTCGGTCGGCACAGTGTCGGTGTCGCTCAGCGAGGACACCCTTCGCAGATACGCCGCCGACCGCCGTGCCAGCGCCGACCACTTCCCGTGGCTTGCGAGGGTGAGCCCGGCGATCCGCCTCACGTCGGAAGTGGAGGGCGGCTGGCTGGGGAGCGCCGAGCCGAGGTCTGGAGGCTGCAGCGCGGCGAGAATGGCACGAGGCTGCGGTTGCGTCTATTGCAGAGCGGCCAGGTGAAGCATTTCAAGTGGGGGGGGGGAAGTGTTCTGTTTTATTGGCCAGAAAAGAAACACTCGAACCGAGTACGGGTTGCAATCTATATATAAGATGCTCGGCCTGCTGGCCGCCGCCCTCTCCTTCTCAAGTGCACTTCTGTCGAGGGCTCGCACAAATGCGCTAGCCTGCAGCAGCGCCGCATCACCAGCGCTCAGACCAGCGGGCTTTTCCGGGAGACAGTCCGCCACAGATGCAGTGCCGCCCTCTGAGCCCACACGACAGACGGGTACCGCGTCGCACCAGTGGCTCCTCGCCACGCACAGCGCGGCGCGGCAATCAGCGCCGCTTGCCTGTGCCGCCGGCGGCGGCGGCAGCAGCGAAAGCGGCGGCGGCGGCGGCGGCGGCGGCGGCGGCGGCGGCGGCGGCGGCGGCGCGCCTCGGAAGGCGGCGCGGCGCGGGCCGCCCATCCTGGGCAAGCGCGCGTGGCAGGTCGGTCTGTCTGGCGTCGTCTGCGCGACCGTGCTCTCCTACTTGCGCCGCTCGGCCGCGCCGCGCCTCTTCGCCCTCCACGTCGCAGCCATGGCGCCGATGCTTCCTCTCGCCACCGCATCGGTGAGCACGGTGAGGCAGCGGCTGACGAGGCCGCCTGCGGGCCTGCCCGCCGCCGCGCGGAGGCGGCGCAACGAGTGGTACGTGATCCGCCACTTTGTCGCCTCCGCGGCCGCCTTCTACCTCGCCATCGCCGGCCTGGTCGGCATCGTGCGCCCGAAGGAGGCGCAGTGGACGACGCGTCCGGGACACGTCCACGACATGTCCCGGACGTGTCGTGCGTAGGTGTGCCAGAAGGAGGCGCTCGGAAGGCCCCACCTGCGCACGCTGCACGCCTGGTGCGGCGCTGCGGCGTGGGTCCTGTGGGTGTGAACGGCGTCTCTTTACAGCTGCAGCTGTGAACAGGTGCGGCGCTGCGGCGTGGGTCCTGTGGGGCGCCGCATATCTCGCGGCGCAGCCGCAGGTGTAGCACGCACGCACGCACGCACGCACGCACGCACGCACGCTCACTGACACCTTTCTTCTGTCACCGCTTCTGGCCGCAGCTGCAGGGGCGGCGCGATTGTTTCTCTTTTCACGCGCCGCTCGCCCCTGCGCAGGTGTGGCGCGACCAGTGGCGGCAGCGCCGCTTCTCGCTCCTCTCCAACAAGCGGTGGATCTGAGAGACAGCCGAGAGACAGCCGAGAGACAGCCGAGAGACAGCCGAGAGACAGCCGAGAGGCAGCCGAGAGGCAGCCGAGGTACAGCCGAGAGACAGCCGAGAGACAGCCGAGAGATCCGCGTGTGTTCACACTCTCCGTCTGTTCACACTCTCCGTCTGTTCACACTCTCCGTCTGTTCACACTCTCCGTCTGTTCACACTCTCCGTCTGTTCACACTCTCCGGCTGTTCACACTCTCCGTCTGTTCACACTCTCCGGCTGTTCACACTCTCCGGCTGTTCACACTCTCCGTCTGTTCACACTCTCCGTCTGTTCACACTCTCCGTCTGTTCACACTCTCCGTCTGTTCACACTCTCCGTCTGTTCACACTCTCCGTCTGTTCACACTCTCCGGCTGTTCACACTCTCCGTCTGTTCACACTCTCCGGCTGTTCACACTCTCCGGCTGTTCACACTCGTCTGTTCACACTCTCCGTCTGTTCACACTCTCCGTCTGTTCACACTCTCCGGCTGTTCACACTCTCCGTCTGTTCACACTCTCCGTCTGTTCACACTCTCCGTCTGTTCACACTCTCCGTCTGTTCACACTCTCCGTCTGTTCACACTCTCCGGCTGTTCACACTCTCCGGCTGTTCACACTCGTCTGTTCACACTCTCCGTCTGTTCACACTCTCCGTCTGTTCACACTCTCCATCTGTTCACACTCTCCGTCTGTTCACACTCGTCTGTTCACACTCTCCGGCTGTTCACACTCGTCTGTTCGCACTCTCCGGCTGTGTGAACAGGTGGCTCTGGTCCGACAGCACGCACCGCCGTCTCGGCGTCCTCGCCTTCGGCGCCGCCCTGACTGCCTACGCCAGCGGGCTGCTTGGCTGGCGCGCGCTGCCTCCGCTCGTCGCGAGATGCTGCGCCGGCCTCGTCGCCCTCATCGGCGCGTCGACCTTGGGCGGACACGGGGCTCGTGTCCGAGATGACCCGAGATCACCCGAGATGGCCCGAGATGGCCCGAGATTAGGCGCTGCTCGAGCACGCGTCCGCCCTCGTGATACGATGACCCGAGATGACCCGAGATTAGGTACGTGAGTCGGGGCGCGCGCTCAGGGCTGCGGCGCTGCCGCCGGCACGCTTGGTGAGGGGCGTGTGGAGGGGGGGGGTTCCGCGCGAGGACGACTGAGCGGCCGAGCACTGGCAGAGGCGCGCGTGCAGCTGCTGCTGAAGGCGCGCGCGGTTGGGTTGGGGTTGGTCCGTGTTCTCCTCTCATGCGGGCTCTCTCCTCTCTGCCCCCCCCCCCCTCTCCCCCCCACGGGCGCTCGCGAAAATTTCGCTCGGGTCCGTTGGCCTCTTTGTAGGGAAGAATTTTGATATTCGTCAAAAAACGCCTGCTGGGCGGGGCCGAGAGCTTCGTCTGACCTCTGGGCCGGCGCGGGGGCCCCAGAGGGTGTCCATGCGGGGGGGAGATGGGGTCCCATGGCCCGCCGCAGGCGCCGATTTTTTTGGATTGTTTTTCTTTTTTGGAGTTTTTTACTTGTTTTCATGGGAATTCGGCGTAGAGGGAGCGGACCGTGAGTTGAGGAAATCGGAGGACGCGACCCACTTCGCCACAGACGGTCCCGCGCCTCGCCGCTAAGACGGGTATACGACCGCGGCTCGTGTGCGTGTACCCGTCTTTGTCCGGAGTGAAAAGTCCAACGCGCTCGTCGGTGACGGCGTCCTCCAACCTGCGCCGCGCTCGGCGAACCTCGACAGCGCTTTCGGTGGCATGCAGCTCTTTGCGCCTGAAGCCTGGAGAGCAGCTCCTCTGCTGCTCACACACTCTGCACAGTTGACACAGCCTACTGTGCGGCTGCCACAGCTGTCACAGCGATGGGCTCGCCCTCACTGGCCCTCAGTCACTTGTGCTGCGGCTTGTGTGAGCGACACTGCTCGGCGACTGCCGGCACACTGTGAGACCATGGGTGTGAGGTTAAACCACGCTACCAGCGCTTGGTCACATTAGCCCCGAGGTAAGATCCTTCTACTCTGTTGATGACAAGACTTGTCTACTGGCTAAAGCCGAGCAGGAGGGCCCAGCGCACAACCCCTGGTCAACTCAGGGTCCACACCCCGTACTTGCGGCCATGCTATCACGCCTTGCGACAGCCTGTCGGCGCAGCTGACCGTGCCATGATGCACAATTGATCACCTGCATAGCTCGCGGCCTTAGTATCAAGCATTCAGTGACGACCTGATCGTACGGCCAGTAGGAAGGTGTCCTTCCATCGTGTGCATGCTTCTGGCGCAATGCGCGTCACCTCGGATTGGCTGCTGGCACTCTCGAGGCTATGCCTACACAGCCTCGCGCGCATGGGCAGTCAAGAGGGACCACGCACCTTCTCAGGACAGCGCCGGTGCCTCTCTCTTGGACCGGCAAACGTGGTGGTATCGTGTCACCAATGTGGGACCAGTGCGGCATCGCGCCATCGACAGCTCTGAACTGCGCCTCACCACTGACCGGGAAGGCCGCCAAGTGGGCCAGCACAGGTCGCACATTGTGGCAGCAGTCAGCAGTGCATGGCTGATAGCTAGAGCAGCAGCGTCAGGGTCGCAGGGTCGGATCGTGTCAAGCCTCTCGCCCGGCCGGCCGCGTGCAGACGTCGGCCTGTCTGCTGTCTGGAGTGATCTGTCGGCGGTCAGTACGACCGATCAGGTCGGAGATTTCTGATGGTTGGAGGGTCTATCTGTGTGTACTCCTCGAGATCTTTCCAAATCTGCCCTCTACTTAACCGTACTTAATCGGGAAGTTGGTGCTAGTGGAGACTAGTGGAGCCGGGGCCCCGTTTCCGCACTGCGGCGCGGCGCACGGTGCCTCCGGGGGGCCCCGCGCCGGCCCAGAGTGCTGCTCCGGGGGGGGGGTCTGCAGACCACCCGGCCGAACTTCAGAGTCGCGGTGCTCCTCAAATACCGCTCAAACGCCCACGATGTTGTGGAGGGGACATATGCTGATGATCCTGGCCCGATTGGTTCGTTCAGAAAGCTTCTGGGCGGTCGTTAAGGTTCGCTCCCCGCACAACGGCCCGGAAGTATGGTACCCTAGACACGGACAAAAAACATCAAAATTCATCACACTGTCACAGCACCCCCGTATTTGCAACTAGTCGATGGCGCGAGTATGTTCGTAGCAAGGATCGGCGCGACGATCGAGAGCTCGCTCACCTTCACTTTCGGAGACGCTCGGTATTCTATTAGAATAATTGCCCAATTATTCTTTTTCGTGTGTGGACGCTTCGTAAATCGTGACATGTACTTTACACACATAGCCACGCGCCCGCATCGGCGGCGCGGCTGGAAGGAGCGCGACTCTCACAGGGAACCAATACACACACAGCCAGGGGACGCAAGGTAGAGCGCGGGGGCAGCGCTAGAGGCTGTCCATCTAGCTCCGCCCCCGTGGCACCCGCGCGCTCAGAGCTATCTGGCGCGAGGCGCTGCCCGGCGCGCGCTGCAGCGTACGAGCGGAAAGGGGGGGCGAGCCGTTCGGGTGGGGGGGAGAGGGGCCCTCCAGA